TCTCTCTCTCTCTCTCTCTCTCTCTCTCTCTCTCTCTCTCTCTCTCTCTTTCTCTCTCTCCATACCAATCTCAGTTCCCCTTCCACTCCCTTAACCTTTCCCCCACTTCACCCCCATCCACTCTGCTCCTCAGAGAGAGTAAGGCCTCTCCTGGGAAGTCAACTAAGTCTGTCCTATCGCGTCCTTGAAGTAGGACCAAGACCCTCCCACCTGCTATGCCTAGGCTAAGCAAGGTATCTCTTCATAGACACTGTGGTGTTTGTATGTGTGCTTGTTTCTGGAAGGTACATGTCTTAGTATAGAAAGGTGTTCTGCTGGTGGTAGCTATAGTTTCTGTAGAGTCTGTGCTAGGGTCTCCTGCAAGGTTACTCTAGTCTAGGATCCTTATCAGGTCAAGTGGCACAGACTGGACCTTGTTTGTAAGTGTAGGCTTATTCAATAGATATGCTAAAATAACCAGACCAGCTCAAAATAACAGATATAGTTTAATAATTGTAATGGGGAAACTCATACGACTGGAGTAAAAGTTCCGATGTCCAAACGGGTCAGGTGAGCACCACACAGAGGGTGCACACACCTATCTACCCTCGTCTATCTTCCTGGCTCCAGGTGGCCACACCCAAGCCAGGTGTGATTGACTGAGCTTCCCCATCATCTTCCCCTTTTGTCTAAACAAGATCGAACCAAACCCAATACAACTATATACAATAGGAACAGATACCAAATATAAAATTACAGTCAATATAATATTAAGCAAGAAACACATAACAAAAGTTTTACTAAGCATTCTATTTCAAGGAGTCTAAATAATGTATTGGAATTAAGTTTAGCTAAATCATAAGGAGGGTAACTACAATTATCTAATCTTCAACTCCATCGAAGGAAAGTAATATTACTTGAGTAAACAGGAAATACAATCAAGAAACTTCCAAAATGTGCAACAAATGACAGAGACAACTGACTACCTGGGCAATCACCCAAAGTTTCATTTGCAATGTCGAGGCAACCAACTTTGGCTAAAGCCTAATGTAACTGACAGACCATTTTCAAAGGCAAGAAACTTTTCAGAACTATCTTACCCTGTCTTGGTAGGATATGGCAGTCCTGTTTTATCCATTTATGGATACTCTGTAACTCTGTCAGTAGTTGAGTTATGGACTTTTCTTTGCCCAAAGGCCAGTATGCCAAGAAGAAAGGCTCCAGGTAGAGTGTCTTTGGTGCTCAACATTTTCTTGGGAGTAGAGCGGTGTTGCCAGGAGTGATTGTGTCACTCCATGTCTCACCATGGAACTCTAGGTTAGATTAAAGGCCATTTTCTACAGCTCTTTGAAGAGGTTGAAGGTTATATATCTATACTGAATATAATCTCTACGTATCTAAAGAACCTGATTAGCCTAAATATAAATAAGACAAACATAGATGACTATTGATCTATAATTTTCAATACCTATCTAGCTTAAAGACTAAAAGAATAAACAACTGTACAATAAATGAGGACAATGACCTCCAAATGTAAACAATGTATATCATTACATAAACAATAGATAAGTATCTTCATCGGGGTAGAAATGCACACTGCAATATGGTATATATATATATATATATATATATCTCAATACAATATATATCAATACATAAAAACTGTTTTAAACAGAGGTAGAAGCATACTCGCATACAATATTCAATATGATTTAGCTTTGTATCAATATACAAGAATCGATACCAATACAATTGTCTAAAAACAATAACTCACAACTACCAGTTTGTTATCCCATCACCAATTATCCCTCTTTTTTTTTAGGACACCCCTGAGCCTATAAAATTATTCCCTCATCCCTCAACCATATACCAATCATAACCAACCCCTAAATGATGTCCCTCAACCTGAGGACAAACTCTGCTGGAAGAGGGGACGTTGTCCTCTAAAATTGCTTATAGCTGTCATGGGGGCGACGTTCTTCCTAGGGGATCCTGTGAAAACAAATGATGGTTAAATTCCAAGATTAATATTTGGTCTGGTAAAATTGCAAATAGTCTCTGAGTGTTTGTGGAGGTCTGGCCAGAATGTTGTAAAATATGTGCACCATTTCAGTTAACCAAGTTGGAACTGTCTTGTATAGCTGGTACCAAAAACAGGTCTTGTAGCAGTGCTATCAGCAACATGATGTCATATTAAACAGGTGGAGTTGTTGTGGGGCCACATCTTCTTTCTGGAAACTTTAAAGGTTACTGCAGGAAAATTTATTGTTTCTTATGAGAAACTTAAGCATTATGTATAAAGACATATACAGATATGTATATTCAATAAAAGGCATGAGAAAGACAGAAACAGATATGAGGAAAGAAAAAGAAAGTTATATATATTATTATTATTATTATTATGGCCCCAGTTAGTCTTTGCAAAAAGTCAGTAAAGGGTTCTCTCTGACCCTGTTTAACTCTGAGATATGATTTTGTTTCTTTTTAAATTCAAAATAAATCTTACCTGTGATTTCATCAAATCAGCAAGAGTAGGTGCAATAACCATTACCTGCTAGTAGGTGGCAGGGTGCACCTGAATCCACATGCTTGATATTAGATGGCGGAATGAAAGCAAAAAAAAAAAAAAAAAATCTGAAAAATATACTCAAATCAAGAAGTTAAAATCACAGAGCATATGCTCTGTTTATGTGTTCGGCTGCTCAAAAGTTTCTCACTCTGGCAAGTGGCGGATGTGACTGGACCCAAAGCCTGCAGCGCAGCATGGGCACAAGGCGCACGCGCCTGGAAGTGCTCAGGTCCTGAGCCGCAGGCTGCCAAGAGTGAGCAAGGAGAAGCAAAGGGGGGGGGGGGGCAGCCCACATCTGCAGTGGCCGTGCCAGTAGCACGTGGAGACATGGCTAAGCCCCACGTACCAGGATGGGGAGGTGCACAGCAGCTGTGAGGTGCACAAATGTCACAGCTCACAGTGGCCCCACATTGGGTGCCAAGTGTAAGTGAAGGCATATTCGATAGGTATGCTAAAATAACCAGACCAGCTCAAAACAACAGATATAGTTTAATAATTGAAAACAGGGAAACTCACGTGACCGGAGAAAGAGTTCCGATGTCCAAACGGGTCAGGCGAGCACTGCACAGAGGACGCTGCGCACCTATCTACCCCCGTTTATCTACCTGGCTCCAGGTGGCCACACCCAAGCAAGATGTGATTGGCTGAGCTTCCCCCATCACTTGTTCCTGGTAGCTCATTCACAGAGCAGTCCTGCATCCCCAGCAATGGCTCTATGAGCTTCTCAATGTCCCTTTAAGAAACTCTGTTCTTACATGTTGGGCAGAACCATGTACTGCTGCTCCTAAATAAGATCCTTCATAATGTTCTAGGAAATCTGCTCATAGATTTGCACCGGAAATTCTATGCAAAATAAGATATTTTAAAATGGTACAATAACTGACTACTTAGAGCCTATCTAAGGCAATATACCAGGGGGACAGTTGCACCTCCCTGGACTTAGCTCAGATGCTGTCTGGAGAGCCAGAGTTGGAAACTCTCAGGAAGAGGTGCCCAATTGGAAACACTAGCTGGCTAGAGACAAAAGATGCATGTTTCTATTATCCAGGCTGAAAAATAAAATTTAACTAGAGCTGGGGAGAGGTAATGTGCCCACAGGACTTGGACTCTTCTCAGGGAGAATAACATGAGATGTCATTAGACCTTCACTGTGGTTTGCAACGCCTCCCTGCAGCTCATTTATGAGGTTATGCAACCAGTGTTCCTATAAAAAACAAGCTCATTCAGGCTTCCGGAAGTATCTGTCAGCTCAGCTACCTGGGAGTCTCTCGTCCTCTCTGCCCTCTGAACGCTGGCTGCCGCTGCCATGAAAGCTCATTACTTTCTCTTGGTGATGTTATTTTTCCTCTTCTCCCAGATGGAGCCAGGTAAGCTTTGGAAACTTGCTGATGGCTCTGGCTGGGACTGGAGACACAGGGGCTAAGGGGGAACAAGTCATGGCTACCTCCTGGTTTTGCAAGTCTAGCAACAGGAGAGCATCCTGAATGGCCTGTGGTTAACTGCTGGGCTACAGCAAAATGAACCTGGTAGGGGTTAGGAGTGAGTAGTGAGGGGTCTCCAAGTCATGATGTTTGTCCCTAGAATCTGGGATAGGTCTTGTGTGGGAGTCTGTTTTGCCTGTGGGAAGATCCTTCACAGCCTTTTGATCCAGGGAGACACACTAGCCTCAACTGGGTCCCTGGGCGGAGCATCCCTGAGTATCCTGCTGCAGGCAAAGTGCCACTGCCCCTTTGCCAGGCCAGCTCAGCCAGTTGTAAATGCCTGGAAACACCAGGTGAGGAGTCAAGAGATGGCCTTTCACATTCTTTGGTAGCCACATTGTTCTGGCAAGGAAATTTTACCAGTCAAATTGTAGGGCTTCACATGTGTCTAGAGGATGCCCACACTATCCGGGCCACCTGCCCCTGGCATTGGAGACAGGAGGACCCAGAAATAACGATGAAGGACATATTTTCCCCAAGGTCACCTCTCAGTATAACAATTGACAAAGTCATGTATTTCTGATCTTTATGTCCATATTTGTATCAGGAGGGTCCTGGGGAAGGAATCTTAGTTGTGAGATTCTCTGGAAAATCCTGTTTTGTTTTTCTTGGGGCTACCATGCTAGCTTCTGGGGGTGTGTGTTTCAAAAGAGATATGTCCCAGTTTTCCCATGTGAAATCTGGATCCCGACGCCTTCTCAACATACTGTTTTTCATAGTGAGGTCATGGCCCAGTAGAGAGGTAAAGAAATGTATTTAATAAGTTACACATTTTTAGGGTCTAGAAAATGCCAGCACATGCCGACTGCACAGGACATGCTATTTGATACACCTGTCTCGGCATGCATCGGGGGTGGAGTGGGAATGCTTTCACTGAGTGAGGAGAAACTTCCTTCTTGTGACCCAAATTCAAGAAAATTTAAGAGCATGTTTTTCAGAATGAAGACTTTTTTATTATGGTCTAGTATGCTAACTGTGACGCTAGGCAATTCATTCAAACCACAAAAAAATGACCACCTCACTAGGGTGGACAGGCTCAGTCATACTTCCTGATCCTCCATTATAAGAATGGATCCAGGAATACTTACCAGGTCTTGCTTAGAAACTCCTAGGTAGAGCCACTCTTCTGCATTCTTTTAGGATACAAATATCCTCGCTGTATAATCTGCCGGTACAAGAATTTTCCAGCCACTTCTCTGGAAATAACAAAGAGCAGAGCCTCTCTCACCCTCAAAGCCAATATGATGGTGCTCAGATCACTCCAAGGGTCCCCAGGGCCAAGGGGGACTATTGAGGAATACCTGCTCTACTGCAAGGTTCTATTTGACCACAAAAAAGATGCTGTTTAGTAAAAGTATTTTCCTCTGGGATTGATATGGTGATCTGGCCTTTATGCTATGGATGGGGAATGAAACTCGCCAGGTGTCTTTGCATTAACATGCAGGCTCCCGAGAGTCTCTAGAGCCAGGCTGCAGGTGGGTCTTGCATGTGTTTGGCTTAGAATTTGGGGTGTGAATTCTGAGAGTTCTTGTTTTGCTTTGTTTGGATACAGTCGTACTGTAGACTCTAGATAAAAATTATAGGTTTGTAGCATGCCAAATGCTGTTTGAGGGAATGCATATACTATGAACCAGTTAGGTCTAGCTAGATACTGTACCCTGTCTTATGACAATTGTCATTGTCAATGCTGTTGCTTTGTTCCTCCCATCCACACTGTCTCTAGACCTACACTGCCTGCTGTATTCAGTTTAGTGTGGGGGGTACTGGGTTCTGTTTCTGAAAGGCTGTATGGTCCTGGTCTGATTTCATGTCCTATCTGAGCCCTCCCAGACACCATTCCCACCACTCATTTCTGGTCCACAGGACCCCACAAGACAGGACCTTCTAGTTGACCAGCTTGTTTTCCTGAGAGATAAAGAAATGGGCTCCCCATCATCTCCCTGTACAAATAGTCTGTGAAAACAGAATGAAGTCAACATAAAAAGACCTCAGTCTCGGTCTTTGGAAACCAAGGGTAACTGAGGCTGCCACTGAGCAAATTCTTAGTGAGAAACAAACAGGTATGGATATTGCCAGGGGAAGAAGGAAGAGACAGAGACAGAGAGGTTTCCAACTGTCTGGAAAGCTTCAACTCGAGAAGAAAACACAGCACAAGCCGGGTATGCAAGGGAGTAACTCTACCTGCCCCGAGAAATGCTGCTGGGTTCAGCTGTCAAGAGACCTTGTAAGGAGACAACCTTTTCTGGGACATTAAGAAAGGCTTCTCTAAAGAGGTTGAGAGAGGAGAAGAAACAGATGTCATTTGATGGGCATGGTGTTTACAAACATTACTTCTTTCTCAAAGTTAACAATGGTGATACACCACATAAAATTTAGACTCCTGTCTTGTTACAAACACAGAAGACATAGTCTCCTTATCACAGTGGAATACCACTGATTAGGGACTGTTAACTCTACACAGAGGTCTCTATCCCAAGTCTCTGCAGACTCTATCACAACCTATCACTTTCCTTCAAACCCTTGGATGCAGAACTCTGAGATGCCTGGGTGCTGGGGCCATTGCACATGACAGGCAAGTGGATAGATGGCATACGTAAAAAGATGGAGAGAAATAAATCAATAGACATTTACACCAAGTCCTCATAATATTCCCAAGAGGAATCAATATCTACATTTTATGGATAAACAACAGTAGGTCAGGGAGTCAGTCCCAGACCTCAGCTCTTGTATGACTTCACAACAACTCTCAAAGCTTGGAGGTATACAGGGTTATGTGAGGAAGCACAGAGAAAGGGGATAGAAATCATATGAGCAAATCCATGGATGGTCAGGCTGTATCAAGATGTTTCATGAGGCAGGACACATCTGGGATGGGTTGGGACAAGGACAAAATGAAAAATGGCTTTTGAGATGCTGACTTGCCTAGAGACTGACTACAGACCAATCCACGGAGGTGGGACAATCACTAGGAACTCCCACCGTCAAAGTTATGTGTCCTCCTAGTGCACCTGTGACAATTAACAAAAGGTCAAAGAATCAATTCAGCCTACTGTTGCAAGCATTCACAGCTCCACAAGCTCCTCCCTTCCTTCCCTGAAAAGTCTATACACAACCCTGCTAGGTTGGGCTCATTCGCTGTATTAAATCAGGAAAATTACTCCAGGTGTTAGCACTGTGTAACCCCAGTTACCACCCTTTCCTCTCAAGTGTCTCATCCAGAAATTTTCACCCTGACCTGATAGTCCTAATTCGTTCTGCTTCTTCCACTTCCCATAAAAGCTTTTGGTAATAGAAATCCACCCGCTACGGTTTCCAGTATTCCATGTAGTTGGTGAGGGCCGCTAATTAGCAGGAGGTGGGACTCAACAGACGTACTCCAAAGCAGCATCAAAACAACACCATAGGTTTTGCTTTACAGCTATAGGGACAGCTTTGTGCCTGTCATCTGAGTGCCCCAGGTTGTCCTCCACTAGGGACCATGCCAGGCCTGCTCTACAGATCTTTTGATGACTCAGTCATGTTGATGACAAAAACACACATCCATTCAGATCCCCAACCCTGTATTCTTTCACTCACTTCCCAAGATTCCCGAAGAGATCAGAAGTCACACATTCCCTCTCAAGAAGAACCTGGACAGGCAGTGCATTCAAACTCCATGAAGTTGGAGAGAGTGCCGCTGAGGACTGAAGCCGGCCTTAGTTTCCCACTACACCGTGCTATTGAGATCTCCTTGAATTCAGAAGGAAGACTGACTTCCGTCTCAGTTGGCTTCCGCTTTTGTTGCTTTTTCTGGGAGTGGCAAATATGGCTGATTTCCCTCCTCCTCTCCTGACTACACAAACACCCCACCTCCAAGTCAACATTGACTTCTCTTTTAACATCTCCAGTTGGAGGAACCTGCTTCTTCCCGGCCCCTCCCCGGCATGCTGGCAGCAAATTCCCTTGCCTTGTCCTGGAGGAAGACTTTCTCCCAATAGCAGGATAGCAAGGATTCTGACAGGCTCTTTCGTTGTCTGTGATTTACATTCAGTCTCTGCTTATGATCAGGCCCACTGTGTGGATACACAGTCACAATTAGGAAGATCCAGAAGGTTCCCCTGCATCTGAGTTTCTCTTTCATGTTTCCCTTCTACTCTCTATTCCATGCCCCCCCGACTTCCCTGCGCATGCGTGTTTCAATGCTAAGTCCACCTGTAGACATGAGAGACGTGTGAACCAGGGTCTCAACTTTTCCCGAACCGTTATCCTTTTGCAATCCATTCCGCTTCAGCCTGAAAGTAGTCTACTCTAAAAATGTTTATCTTCTCATCAGAAATCCTTCAAAATTCCTTTGTATTGCTTTTGAACTTCACATTTGCCTATAATTAGACTATCACACTATCTCAGAGTCCCACCCGTGGAGTTCAGGGGGTTTTTGCAGCAGAGAAACTGAGGACCCAAAATCTCACATCTGCAGCCTGATCTGTGCATGTTCATCTTCAGATTTCCACTCTCCCTGTATCTTAGTTCCCAAAAGTCTCCCTAAGAAAATTTATTTTCACATCCTCTTCTGTAAAGATCAAAGATGGCACTCAATCTTTTAATATATCTTTTTCATTAGTGTGATTTGTTATTCTTCCTTGAATTCTTAAGCCTCTGCCCTATGCTAGGTCATGTTTGGCCTCAGTGGCATGAAAGGACCTTGTTGCTTCTGTTTTGGACGGATTTACTTTCTAATGATTGCAGGAGAGCCAACTCTGCCCTGCTCATTACCTCTAAACATTTTTCTTCCCTCCCCCACTCTTCACTATGACCCCCTGAAAGTATTTTCTTCCCCCCAGTTCTCCAACACAGCTCTTAGGATGTATTTCCTTCCATTCCCACCCCTCATTCTCCACCACAGTCTA